GCAATTTCATTGACTGGAACACTTTTTAATAAGGCTGTGATTATCTTACGAGCCCTGTGAACATCTCTGTTGCTACCCTGTTCTCACGATTAGGGTAAGAGCGGCAGCAGAGGCACGCCTGAGTTTTCACGTTACGCCATTTGTAGATCAGATTTGATCTCCCTGATTTAGGCTGAGAAGGTCCTGGTTACTGCAGCCCCTTAGCTGGTACCTCGGGAGGGGAGAAGGGAAATGAAATCTCAGCCGCTTTCTGGTGTACAGATGCCCTCCTCCACCCAGCTGGCGTGGTGGGGACCACAGGCGAGCCAGTTGTGCTCGGGCCTTGGGGGTGATCGGAGCCACCAGCCTGCAGGCCCTCCCTTCCAGAGGAGCGCTCTTACCTCGTGTTCTTGCTGTGTTTCGGCAAACGGTAAGTTTTGGTATTTCTGGGGTTGGAAACCTATGGGTTGGTAAGTCACAATTTCAGTCCTACTGCTCTGCTTTCCCCCCAGAGAGAGATCAGCTTTAAACTGATGAGGGTGTTCAAGGGCATGGATTGCGCAACTTTTTCTCTAAATTGAAAAAATTAAGGACTTCCTAAGGCTGATGCTGAAATTCTCTTACAGTCCCTCATTCAGCATCCGCAGCCATATGACAGCAAACCAGTCGCTCAAAGGTGGGAACGACGTGCAGCAAGATCGTAAGCTGGCAGAACTGCCGTCTGCCTGCCAGTCTTAAAATACTGACTTTAATTTCAGCAGTGACTTCACTTGAGCTGGTGCTGAGACAGTCGGTTTCGTGCAGCCTGCTCGGCCGTCCTACACAATTAGGAATTTCTGCAGTGTTTTGATGTTAGATTTAGACACCTGACTAGAGTTTTCCTTTGGCTGGTTGGACTTTGGGACATGGGTGATGGGCAGAAAAGCAAAGCGGTGAAGACAGCCAGATTTACCCTAGCCTGCAGGAGCTGCATGCTCCAGGCAGAAGGGAGGGCGAGTCCTTTGGTGCAGCTCCTTTTGGAAACGGGAGGATTTTGAGCAGCTGGTAGCAGTTGAGCTCAAGTTCTCCACATTCGTGTGTGGTTTAAGGCCCAAGGATCTCCTTTAGCATGGATCCTTCTGTCCCGTGACCCTTGGTGAGCATGGGGTAGGGCTGTGAGCTGTGCTTGCCGTGGGACGTGAGGGGAAGGCTCCCTCCTTGGGCTCGGAGCCAATTTCCAAAAGTTGGTGCTGGGGATAACGTTTTGGCAAAGTGCTGACTCCTTGGTTTTCCCCATCATTGTCCTAATGAAAACCGCCCTTTCCTGTACTATTATCGCATTTCTTCTCTGTTGGTCTCAAAAACAATGATCCATAGATTTCAGCTCTTTCCATTTGAACCTGTTCTGATGTTGTTCATGCTGGTGGAAATCAGGAGTGATGCCAGCGCGAGTTTGGGCAGTGGCTAATTAATAGCAGAGATTTTCCTCTCTTAGCACTGCTTCCTCGGAGCATGTTTTTTTTTACTGCCCGCCGCCGCTTCTCTCCTGTTCCTCTTGGAGGTTACTGTGGTGCCGCTGAGACACGGGTCCTGCTCCTGCAGCGTGGGTTCGGTGAAGGCAGCAGAGCTATGAAACCCAGCGCGCTGCCCCGGCCACGTGTCGAGCTGCCGAGCTGCACGGCCACACACGTGAAGACGCTTTTGGGTCTCCCCTTTGCTCCCCTGCTGTCAGCGGGGGTGGATCTTGGTAATAACCGTGTGAGTGCTGTTATCTAGTCCACCCTTCCACTTCTCCAGCCATCGTGCTGCGGCGCTGCCTCATTTCTTGGCTCGGCGATACCTGCTCATCTCCAAGAAGCCCAATTGAAACAGCCTCTGATCTCGCTGCCCACTTCCTTGCCTAGCTGGGCACGAGATCACAGGTCTGCACCGCCGCCAGCAGCATCCAGCTTCCTCTCTCGGGCTTATTCCAACCACTGTTTCGCTAACTGAAAGCCTTCCAAATTCATCATCGCAGCCTACTTTCTGGGTTTCCCAGAGCCACATAAACTTTTCTGACTGCTTCCCTGCAGCCCCGATGCAGTTTCCATAAGCACAGGTTTTTCTGCCCTCTTTTTCATCTCGAACGAGTTTCCTTACAGCTAACAGGCGCTAGTCTCTGACCAGGAGACTGGGCTTGAAACCAGGGAGTAAAGTGCTTTTACTGGGTAGTAAAATCCGTAATTGCACAGATTTAAGAAACCGTGGACAAAAACCTGGTTTCTTGGCATAATTACAGTCTTTCTGCTTCTCACTAACCCTTCCATGAACTGGCTGTTGCCCTCTTTCCCCCCGGTGCCCGCTCCCTTGCTCTCCGATGGGCTGTGTGTGCCTAGCGAGCCTCCCAGCTGTTTCTCCTCTGCTGCTTCTCTTTCCACCCCGAAGGGGAAGGGTTCACATGGCCAAAACCTCGCTGCCGTCTTCCAGTTCTGTTAGTTCATCTAATGAAAGGGATTACCTCTACCCACCTCCCACGCCTCCCTTACATAAGAAGCCTGAGTCATTGGGATCTCAGAAGCGTGGTATCTGCCCAAAGGACCATTGACAGCCCCGTTATTTAACTGGAACCCCCGCTGTGGGTTTCAGCAGGAGCCCAGGCAGGGGATGCGCTGGGTACCGGCAAGGGCCCTCCAGCTTTTAGGTGGCCGTTCCCCATAGCATCCCCGTTCTGGACCCGTTGCGGCAAGACTTCAGCTTGCTGCTGTCGGGTGGGTTCACAGAGGTTGATGAGCTTTTGTAATGCCGAAGATTTCTTTTTTTCAATCTAGATAGGGCAGAGCTGGAGCAAAGCCCCCTGTGAACAGGTGTGACAGACAGAGACAAGTTTTTTTAGTCTCCTTCTTTTCATTTTTCTCTTTTTCAACAAAAATTATGGTGGCATCCAGCACAGGACCTGCTGGCTGGCACAGGGAGAGATCCCCTTGGCTGGAGACCAGTCCCTCAGGGGCTAACAGAAAGCAGCCCTGCCCTTCTCATTTCAGCTGGGGAATCGGAGAAAAGCAGCGCTCCGGCACCCAGAAACCTGTGGTTAGGGCTCACTGTCAGACTCCGCGCCAAAGCCATCTGTTACAAGCGCAGCGAAGAGAGCATTTCATTTTCTCCCCAGCGTGGCAGGACGTGAATCAAAGCAAATTCCGGCGAGCAAATCTGGGGCCAAGGAAAACTGGGAGGTGCTGAGTTACCAGAAGTACTTAGGAGAGGTAAACGCTACTCAAGTGTCAAGAGAAGGGAACATGTCTGTGTGGGTGGGTGTCTGGCATCTCTGGGGCTCCATCCTGTTTTGGGATAGTCCGGGCAGAAGAATAGTAAATCCCCAAAACATATATTCTGTGGCTTAAATTTGAGTGGGGTTAGGTGTGTGTGGTAAAGGGGAGGGAAAATCAAACCTGTTTCTCCTTGGCTTCAAAAGTCTGGACTGAAAGGGAGCTCTATTCAGGTAGGATGTAAGGGCAGGGCTTTCTTCTACGACTCCAGTGGTTCGCACTCTGCTGGGTGGCATCTTGCCTTAATTTTTCAGAAACGATTTAAGGTTAATGGCCAATGTCTGGAGCACTTTGTTTCTCTCCCTCTCTCTCTCACTCTTCTCTCCACGTGAATTTCCTCCACTTGCTTAGATTGTTCTTGTTCCTCATGCAGGAAAGCCTCACCTGCTTGTGCTGCAGCTGCTGAACAACCACAGCACCCAAAAAATCAGGTGGGGGTCTTGATTTAGGCTGCAGGGCGGCTCAGCGCAGCCCAGCTGCTCCAAGAAGTCAGGCTGGGACCCTGCAAGGGGGTGTCAGGGAAAACGGCTTTTTGTGGAGCGTGTTCCCCCCATCCCAAGTCCAGCTCACCCTGGGTGTCTGTTACAGCTCTAGAGGTATTTAGAAGCCTGAACGTTCCCAAAACTGAGTGAAGGCCCAAATTTCTAAGTATTTTTGGTCACCTAACCACTCAGGAGGCCCCAGGGAAGACCCATCACATACTCGGCCTGACTCCAGGGCAGTGGGTGTGAAGCGTCAACCACTTCTCAGAGCTGCCGTGCCTCACGAAGCGTCTCAGTGCTTTGACAGACCTGGCCACGAGAGACTTTGGATTATTGACCCTGACATGTGACGAGTTTCCTAAATGCAAGGTGCACCTGTAGATTTTGACTCTCAAAGGCGTGAGTACTGCCAGAGGAGGAAGGGAAGTGGTCCAGCGCCAGGCGGCTGCAATGCGCTCGGTGTGGAGATGGAGCAGCCTTCCTCGTAGTGGGACATCTGCAGTAACAGGTGGAACATCTTTCCAGCTTTCTTCATCCATGGTTTTGCCCAGGCCTGCCGAAACATGGTCCTTTGTTAGATCACTTTCGGGACAGAGGTGTAGAGGCTGAGATCTCCCCTGCCCGGTGGGGTGAGGCAGAGCTGAAACACCTCCAGCCCCCAGCCAGGGCAATGGGAAGGGTTGAAGGGTAACACAATGAGCTCTTTGGTTAAAACCTCTAGAGCTGTTGTTTTGTTTGCTGCCCTACAGAAGTGAAAGCAGTTTGGGAAAACAAAAACCACGTGAAGCCACTGTGTGGTCTGGTGGTGGGGATGCGTTTGCCACAAAAGGGGTCTAGCTTCCCTGGAAGGTGCGACCCAGGCACCTCCGAGGTCTCGGTGTGATGCTGCTGCCGGGCAGCCCCACAGCACTGACCACACTTGTCCTTGCAAAATTGCCACAGGGGTAGGGGACATTATGGCCAACGCAGATGTCCTCACCCCCAAGGATGGGAATCGCCGTGGGGAGAGTGATTGACGCTGGAACTGCCCCAGAACCGGCAACTCAGGTGCAGGGCTGGGAGCCACCCTCCGTCCCCAGCCACTGGTGCAAAGAAAAGGGGGCAAACACCAGGTCAGCCCCTGCTGTCCCCGGCCCCAGGCAGGTCCCACAGCCCAGGGGGGTGCCACCAAGCTGCCCCATGTGGGCGCACACCAAAGCCTTATCCTGCGACGGAAATCTGGGAGCTGGGCGAGAGCAAAGGCACAGTCACATGCACCATGGGGCTGCTGTGCACAGCACCCTCCTTTTGCAACGGGGTTCCCAAAAACAGAGGTCCGTTGGAAGCTGCCCTCAAAGGGTGGCTGCCTAAGGGCAAAGCAGAACTCACTGCCAAGACAGAGGGGGGGAAGCGGCTGGCTCTCCTGGCATGGCTCTGCCCTACCACAACTCACATCGTCGTCGCCATCGCTGACACACCGGATCAAGCCCGTGGCATTTTGCTAAAAGCCGTAGGAAACCATTCCAGCTACCCTCGCAGCCTTTCCTTATGTTTAGCTTAGCAGACTTCCAGCACTTTCATTCCCTTCTCTTTTTTTCTTTAAAAAAAAAAAAAAAAACACAACACGAAACCAAGCAGCATGCAAAGAAATGCAAACC